GACTGGTGGAGCATCTCATAAGGGTTATTAGCGATCGCAAGACAGTAGCATGAGAGAATTTCTGGTGATACTCGGTCATAGACATCTTGCCCTGCTTTAGGTCCATGGACTCATCACTCTTCTGGTTCTTTTATTACGGAGGTAGGAACCTAATCTCCAACTGCTGCTTGAAAGTATCCCATTTTTCTCTGTCTTTTTCCAGGAGATGCTCATTCTCATACATCCACCTTCACATCGCTTCTCCATGCAAGAACCACAATGCCATAGCGACCCAGTGTTCCACCTGTAAGCTTCCTTGTCTTTGCACGGCGCAGAAGTCTCTACGTGTTCGAACCATGCCCTAACTAGTTTGCGTCTCTCCGTGCCATGGAAATTCTTCATTTGAAAGGTAGACGTGACCTCCAAGGGGTTATTCTAGGAAGGATGGAAAATCGTCTGGAAAGCTCCAACAATAGCTGCTCCAAGTTAGGTGAAATCTACGAAAAGCTGTGATGATACAAGCTTGACGAGGTGGAATGGTTTTGACATAAGAGATCAAGAAAGATTAGGGCTTTACATCAAATGTGTAATGAGTGTAGGACTACCTAAACTTATGCTCTAATGCCAAACTAACTCACCTCGACCCAGAATGTCCACATGTACACTCGAGTCGAGACGTGATGGGCGACACCTGTAAGGTGACGAAGCAATAAAATGTACTTGGTTTGAAAAAGTACGAATAAATTAGAACTTGAACTGAAATAGATAAGAGTGCGCAAGTGAGTGGGTAGAAACCCTTATTACAAAACATCAATGTCAAAGCATGTGACATATACATGAAGCTGGTCTTTGGCCCAGACAATACAACTAAAGGTGACATCGTGCATACATTTAATAATGAGCAGATAAAATCACATGTATGTACATGCCACATTTTATAAGTAGATGTCACAGTTTATACTCACAAAATAATACTTAAATTATAACATGTAGGCAATTATTATTTTCGAAGTTAAACATTGCATGTCACACTAGTAAACACAAGCACAAGCATGAAAACTATAATATAATAATACTTAAAAAAAAGGAAAAAAAAAAAGAAAACCCGATCACTAGTAAGAAACAAGATCATAGCCGCCATGCCTAACTTGCTAACGGAACTCTTCCAAATGGTTTTCTCTTATATATGAATATATACTAATCATTACACTAATAGCATTAATGTAGAGAACCTAGTTTCCCTTCGTTTGCTAATGGGTTGGAAGTGCTTCATAAGTGCCACATGTAAAACCTTGTTTGAATGACAATGAGATCACAACTGGACTACTTGTGTGGCGCATAACTGGTTGTACTGGTTGTGTGAAACACGAGAAGTTTGAGAGCCCTAATGCGATAAGAGTCATGGAGTTTCATGTATTGCAGCTGTCCTAGTTTCGATCCTTATCTGATATACACTAGTATATCAAGTCATGATGGGACTAAAACTCTTTGAGATAGAGATCAACACTCCTTCTGTTAATAGGCTGGACCGAGTGGATCTCTATTGATGAGTGATTGTATAAATAGTTGAAGTCCCTGCTTCCACACTAAGGCTTCCTTAATATCTAAAACCCTATTCACTTAGAGAGGAGATTTAACGAGTGTTGGAAGTAGAAGACTTCATATGTTGCTCTCAGAATGGCGATACCTCCAGGTAAGTTGATTTCGTGTACTGCACGGGATGGTCCTTCAGTTACTGAAGCGTATATGCTTATGGTAACCCTAGTGTCGTGTTGGTTTGCTATGCAGTTGAAGTTTGATTCTTTATATTACTGCTTACACCACACGCTACCGCGCGTCGGCTGAAGCTGACACGCTTTGACATGCACCGGAGATGGAATTTTCTGTCTTCGAACATAATATTCTCTTATGCAGTGACGACATGGAGTTACCGTTGACGAAATACACCTTCGTTGGCGATATATATGCTAACTTCGTTAACGTAGTAAGGAATATTTTCTCAAAATTGACCGGAGGTGCTCGAAATTTGGCTGGAAGTCTCGGCCAAAATTGGATCCTTTGAAACAGAGGTAGATTCGAGCATGCAAACTTGAATCTGGATCCTGGGTGCTGTGAGGAAGTTATAGGCGCTGAAACTCGACCAAATCTACGAGATTTGGCTTAGGAAAACGCTACAATCTCGCCGAAAAAATTGACCGTCATTAGTCTGTTTCTAAGTTCGCCAAAACGTGTTTAAAACTTACATGCAAGGAGGAAAATCGAAGAGGACAACAAAACGAAATAAATGAAGGTGGAAACGAAGCTTACCTTGGTTAGAGAAGGGATGAACTCGCCGGATTTCTTTGGTTTGAACGGAGGTTCGTGGTCCCTAGAGTTACAACAAATTCAAAGATTTTTTACACGTCTCAGTGTTTGGGGTGAGGAGAGGGATGTGTTGGTGGTGCTTTGGCAGTGTGGATTCACAGGAGCCGGCGAGTTGAGGTGGTGTGGCGTCGGCTCTGTGAAGAACCGAGCAAAGGGAGAGTGTTAGAGGGATGAGGGAGAGTGAAGGGGAGAGAGTGAGTGGGAGAGTGAGAGGCACGGGGAGTAACGTACCGTTTGGTACGTGGGACGGGACGGAACGGAACGGAGTGAGACGAGACGTTCCGTCACATGTTTGGTGCGCTTAAAATAAGTGGAACGCGCTGTTCCACGAAACGAATTTTGGGTGAATTTTTGTTCCGCCTCACCCCCGAACAACTCGTTCCACGTCCGTGGAACACAAAATTATAACAGACAAAACACTTTCTTTCTTCTTTCCCCCGCCGCAGTCCTCACCATCCAGAACTTTCTCACCCAAACCAGAGCTAGATAACAGCCTTTCAGTTTTGAACAAAGATCTCGAAGTGGGTTTTATCTCCTCTTCCGGTTCCTCAAAATTCTCGGCCTTGGTTTTCGATTTCTTTCGGTGGCTTTGAGGTATGGGGAGGTAGGTTCTTGTTTCTGGGTTTTTGTTGGATTTTGATGTCGGATTCGAGTGAGACTTGGGTTTTTGTTGGGTCGATTGTCGGTGAGTGAAAGGAAGAAGATGATAAAGAGACGGACCTGGTTCTAGAGAGAAGTGGCTCCGGCTCCCGCTCGGAGTCTTTGGAGTGGGACAGCCATGAGGTCAGGGTCGGTGCCGAGAAGCTTCTCACAAGCATGTTTGTGGCTACGAAATAAGAGTTGAAAAAGGTGTCACAGATATATATATCGCCAAATCACCGATTCGAGAGGTACACACTTGGTTTTTCGCGAAGATTTGTTCAAGATCAGTCTAAAATATTTCTTATTTGTTTGATATGGACACATGGTCAACGGTAAGATTTCTAACCTTTTCTATTTTTTTAGGCTGAAAAACCTAGACCATTGATTTGGAAATCAAACGGTCTAGTTTTGCCACATCACTAGCCATTGGTTTTAAATTTCAAAATTTTTTGATTGTTGGAAATCCAACAGTCCAGAAAACTAGCTGTTGGAAATCCAATGGCCATGGGTGTGCCAAGTTGCTTGTCTACCGAGTCCCTTTAGTGCGCCTGCCAGTGCGGTCCCCTTGTCGTGAACACATGTCCACTTGCGCGTGTTTTCTACGCGCCTAGTGCAAAAAAAGAAAAAGAAAAAAATCAGCTAACTTTAGCCTAGCGTCAGATAAGCTGGGTATTGGGTTAGTGGATTTTCAGCTGGTTAAGAAGCTAGGCTCCCTCGGAGTCTAGTGGATATGTTGGGGTGGAGTGGGTTTTTTTTTGGGGGGAGGGGAATAAGGGATAGAGGGAGGGGTGGACTTGCTCTAACTATGGTCTGCAGGAAGGCTGGTCTAGGGAAAAGACTTGTTAATTTCCGAGGTGCAAACTTACGATGTCGCTCAAAGCTCATTCGTTACACGTCAAATTTACGTCCTGTTTGCGCCTCACGTGTTCGTATTGAAGAGTCCTATTCAAATATGGTAGGAAAAGAGATGAAAAGTGAAAAGATTTCGGAGGTACATATTGAAAATCCATGTGGCATGTCGAGGGTATTTTGGTAAATCCATTGCTTCTTACAATAAAATTTAGAACAAGATGTCACACATAAAGTTACATACATCATGCGGACATATGCAAATATTGAAACTTCTTATTTAGTTTACTTTTGCACGATATATGAGGACGTATAAAATGAACAATTTTAAAAATTTTAGATTCGTATAATGCGGTAAAGACATTCGTACTTTTCTTAAAATTGTGAACATGCTCAAACAATGACGTATGCAAACTTTAAGTTTGTCGACGGTCCATTACGAGTATACTTAGTGTGTATGTAAATGTATACCTATGCACATGGATGATGTGAAAAGAGAAGCCTAATTAAGGTCTGAAAATTATAGAGGAGGGGCAATTTCATTTCTGGAATGGCAATTTCTTGACTGGAGACAAAAAGTCTTTCGTAAGCGTTAATATAGGTAATAATTGGGGTGGGGAAGAGGAGTTGAGGGTGCTTGGACATTAGAAAGCAATCCCCACATTCAAGGAAACCTACCAATTAGAGTACCAATCTTATAATAGTGCTTAAAATGCTTTTCTTTAGATTGAAATTATGTCATAAATCATAATTAACTTAAACAACTTAATTTGTTGCATATACTTAACTATGCTATGAGAACCATGCATATTCGAATCCAAAATTTTCAACTATTAGATCATTGGCCGCACATCCAGCTTTCCATTGCTTAGGCATATTCTAGCCTTCCATTGCTTTGGTAGAATTTGGCATATTCAATTTGTGATTAATAAGAACTTGCCATTGTTGTCTGTGCTGCTAGTTGGCCATGTCCAATGTACATTATTTGCCTGTACGTGCTGACTTTTGCTCATTTACATAGTACGAAATAATGTTGAATTATTAGTGTTTAATTTTTTATTAGTAACCTTTTTATATGTCGAATTTGGAATACAACATTGAAAAGAAATATATCACTCTTAAAGCCAAATATAATGTAGAAAGCTTATTAGTATAAGGCTCACAAGTCAGAATAGCTAAGAAATTAAATTGCAATGTTTTAAGAGCATTGGCCAAAGTCCACTTGCATGATCCATAAAGCAAATGCACTCACAGACCTTTTTCACAATTAATTTTATATAATACAACATCTAGCAGCAACACAAATCTGCAGTAGTACTAATATGTAAACAACGTCAATGGGGGCAGGCAATTGAGGAGAATGATGGATGGTCTTCAGCCCTTGGGCTATGTTTGTTTAATCAAGCAGCCGCCACGGTCTGGCTTTTGCCGGAGGAGGTCTTGGACGTGGATCGTGACGACGCATGGCGGTCCTCTTTCTTTGAGGACACAGCTTTACACTATTCTCTCATCCTGCTTCATCTGTTGCTCTCTACATTCTAGACTACAAAACGCTGTGTCTCCCCTGCACAAATTTTTCAGTTCAATTATCAGAAAATCAAATAACGAAAGACATAGTATATAATTTTTTATTTTATTTTATATTGGAGAGTCCGAATTCTATACCTAGCATACTCTTGCAATTACAATCCTCACCCTCACCACAGTGCATTCAAAATCCAATTTTGTTTTCTCCACGCCTCATCATTTAAAACCCCGGAAAATAAAAAGTAGTTCTATTTTTTTGGAATGTCAAGAACAGCTTCATAATATACTTCTATGGCTGGAAATCTGACAGTACCCTCTTGAAATCCCAGAAGAAAACAGAAAGGAAGAGAATGAAAATCCAAAAATCAAAGAGAAACAGAGGAATAAAAGGATGGAAATATGATAAATAATTCCAACAAGAGTGAAATAATTAAACTAAACAATAATATTATATGATGGAATTCTAGCTAGGATTAAATTACAGAATTGTTATTAATACTTTAAAAATTGCATTCTACACTTCAGTGTATTTTTCTTTCTAATTATAGAAAGTTTGAAATGTCAAAGATTTTTAAAATGCTAATAACAATTCCGTTAAATTATTACCTATACATATAGATGTCGCGGCCTGAAGCGAGCTGGCGTTTGCAGAGGCCACACGTGCGAAGGAAGTGAGCGGTCTCCACAACATCGTGAGAAGCCGTGTTCCTTCTTCTGTGGTTGTTTCTGGGTGACAACATGGCCAAGAAACGGTGCTCTTCATGGTACCCTAAGCTGCTGTTGTTCATGTTCATCATTTCTATATTATAATTATAATTATGACTATTGTTAATCACAGGACAAGTTTCTTGTGGGCCCACCACCGTTGCTGCAACTGCAACTGCATGCTCATCGTTGACGGCGGAGGGGTTTTGGAGATCATCAGTCGGTTCCTGGCCTTCCACGTCCGTCAGATCAACGGTGATCCCAGTCATGCTTGCTGTTCTCTTCATTGGAGGGCGTGGACGCTTCCCTAACAACATTTCTTAAGTAATATAATTTTCTTCCGAATGCTTCTTCAGCTTTGAGAGGGAGAGAGAGAGAAGACTAAATGATAATGGGGAAGGGAAGGGAGTGTGAATGGAAGGTGGGGAAGGAAGATAAATGAGATTGGGAAGGGTGAGAGTGAATCTGGGCCGTTGATGGAGACCACTGAGTACAACAAAAACTCCACGTTAGCATGACTAATGCTCCCTCTCTTTCTCTTTTGTTTTTGTATCTTACTTTATTGTTTGCTTTTCCTTTATTTTCTTATATTTGGATTTTAAATAAGGTTTTCTTTTTATTGATTTTCTTATATTTGGAGGGATCGGACATGGTCCTTTTTAAAATTTAACGGAGAGGGGCGGGTAAAGAAATTCAGAGTTTTGGAACTAGACCTACACTACTACAAAATCATTTATTAGTGGTGCTATGATAACTGACAAGAAACGTGTATTACTGTCAGATATTAAGCAAAATCCGACAGAAAATGGATGCAGTAGGCGGATATAATAAGCGACAAAATTGCCAGCGTTAGGAAATGAATTTTTCGACAGAAAATACTCTAAAACCAACAGAAATTGTGTCGGATATAACCGATAGAAAACATGTAAGAACGATAGAAAATATAAAATCGACAAAAATTGTGTCGGATATAACTGACAGAAAATATATAAAACCGACAGAACTTGTGTCAGCTATAATCGATAGGGAATATATTAATAATAACTAACTGCATTCTCTGTCGGATAAAACTGACAGCAAATATATTAATAATAAAAAAATATATAAAAAGGACATGAGAGCATTCTCCCTTCTCCTTCTCATTGAGCATTCTTCCCCCCTTCTGCTCAAAATGACCAGAATCTGCAACTAATGAGCAAACCAGATTGGGCAACATGCTTGAACGTTGGAATTTGAACTCGAATTCCAAATATCCAAAACCCAAATCCATCAACCCTCTTCCCAACACAAACACAACAATTCATCCCAGAAAAACAGAAGAGAAAACCCACATCTTCCATAAATAGAAGAACGAAGAAAAGATATCAGGGAAGGACCGAGTAAGTTTCACTACATACTAGTCTTGTACAAATGACATAAGGGAAAGCAAAATGCAATCACCATTGTAAATCTTAGAAAAGTAAACCAATCGCAAGCAACCATTAACGAAATCCCTATTCCTTGGATTCTACCTAGACAAACCAAATCATAAGAAAAGCACAGACGGAGTCACCTTAGGCTCAGAGGGGGCGGATGCCCCACTCATTTTTTGTGTGTGAAAAAAAAAGTACTCTTTCAGTTGTTTGTAGCATTAGTATTAACTCTTCCATATGCTATTTTTATTGTTGAAAGAGTATTTTCGGTCATGAAATTTATGAAGATCAATTGTGAAATTATATGAGAGACTAATGGATAAATGATAACATGGTTATTTTTGTAGAGGGAGATGTTTGATGGTATTGGTAATGAGGTTTTCATGCAATGCTTTCAAAACATAAAAACGCATTGATGGATATTGTGATATGTTATATGAAAAACCTTATGGACTAATATATAAGTGTTTTGTTTAGTATATTTTTGTATTTTTTAATTTGTAACTTTGTCGTTTAAAGATGCCCCCATCCATGCATATCTCTGACTTCATCCCGGAAGAAAAGGGTTTTCCTTCGGATAGTTAAATTCACACTCCTATAACTCCCGAAAATAACTTCAAAGAGGCATTATCACAAACCGGTGGTGGGCATATCTAACATATATCAGTTTCAACAAACAACAGTAGATGAACATTTATGACATAAAAAATTAGCAAAACTAAACAAATTAAATCCTCTAAATTGTTCGAATGAAGCCGTAGAGCATTAATGGCCGTCGTTCATAAGAAGCCTTAGATGGTCGTAAAACCACAAAAAACAATGGAAAACCAGAGAGAGAAGGTTTAAAGAGAAGGAACACAGAAGAGAAAATTCACATCTTCCATAAATAGAAGAACGAGGAAAAGCATGGAGATCCCAAATCACACACAGCATTCAAACATCAAACACTTACACAATCAACGAAAACGACACAAATATAAAAAGAAGAAGGAAATGCGAAGAGGAGAAAAGGAGGGGGGAAGGGAGAAGGCATTGGCGCAAGGAAGAGATGGAGAGGTTTTAATGTGGAAATTTTTCATTACTGTCGGTTAAAATAAAAATGTTTTGCTCCTAGAATTTTTATTCTTAAATTTGAATTTTTAAAATTTGAATCTTCAAATACCTTTATCTACCTGTTTTTTAATTAAAAAGACATTATTACAAATTTTATAAGTTTATAAAAAATTAAAAGAAACATGCTAGAGGTAGATAAAAAATTTGTGATGTAGATAGAATCTCTGATAGAGGTAGCCTACGAACAAAACCTATGTATAGATAGATAATACAAAATAATCTATGATACAGATAGACTATGAACAGAAACTTATTGTATAGGTAGATAACTCAGTTAATTTGTGATATATAGGTAGATAAACACAATTAATCTTAGATAGATTATCAACAAAATATGTAATATATAGGTAGATAAATACATTATTCATGATACATGCACAATATAATATAAAAAGATAAAAAAAAAAAAAAAAAAAAAGGAAAGTGATATAGGTAGATAAAAAATTAAAAAAATCGTGAAGAAAAATGATATTGAGGAGGAAAACTAAAGAAAATGCTAATTCGATAGAACTTCAAAGTTAAAAATATATATATAAAAAGGAGAATGAAGCCAAAAAAAAAAAAAAAGAGACGAAGAACCCAAAGCAAAGATTGACTAATACAATTTTTTTTTTTAAACCAATCAAATCATCCTTATGAAAGAGGAGCAGAAGAAGAATATTATGGTAGAAGACTACTGGGAAAAATAACGAGGAAGAGAAAGATATTGTGAGGGAGAAGAAACAAGAAAAGAGAAATGAACGATTTGGGGAAGGAGAGAAAAAAACGAGATTTAAATCCCTAATCCTATAATTAAGGATAAGATTAACATTAATCACAAACTTAAAAAAAAACAGTAATACTTAATTGGTCAATTTAAGGGTAAATTTGGCAAAGAATACAAATAAGTTTATGTGGATAATGAATCACTAGACCTAACCTAAAAATTAAACAAAATTGGACTATAACTAATAATGGCTAGTAAAATTGGACTCATATTAAGTTTCCCAAAAAAAATGGCGGCAAAAATCCGCCCAAAATTTTAAATTCCCCCACAATTTTGTTACGATTTTAAAAATAAAATAATAATTATTTGGTTTTAACAAATAAATAAATAAATAATATGTATTTAAATAGAATATGTTTTTCAAAATTAAATAAATAATTGTTTGGTTTAATAGATAATAACCCATGTAAATTATGCAATAAAGAAACAAAAAGATAATTGTACAATGAAAATATCATCACACAAACTAAATATTGTCTAATCAATACTTGAAAAACATAAATAAAAATTTAGCACGAATTACTTTTCCTACTTCAAAATTTAGGCAAATTTAACGGAGATATGCATTCTACGAAACTAGTTTCACTGATCTAACAATCAAATGTGTTTGTAGATACTACAAGATCGCGTACGTAAAAAATCGCAAAAAAAAACACATTAAGAGATTAGGTAACGGAACAAAAGTTTTCGACGGTTATAAACGAAAAATCACAATTTAATGGTAATTTTAGCTCTGATTTTGATCATTTTTTACATCTACAGTTCTCGACCCTATAAGAATGCATTGAACGAATTCGATCTTCAATTTAAAATATTTACACTAGTGGATACCACAAAATCTTATTTTATACTTAATGGAAGTATAATATTAACTATAAGTGTTTGTTTAATCTACTGTTTTGACGCGATATGCATCCAACCATCAAACTTATTTGTACACACTATGAGATCGCATACGTAAAAAATCACAAAAAACAAACATTCAGAGATTAGGTAACAGAACAAAGTTTTCGACGATTATTTAACGGTTATTTTAGCTCCGATTTTGAGGATGTTTTTACAGCTACACTGCTCGACCCTATAAGAATGCATTGAATGAATTTGATCTTCAATTTAAAATATTTATACTATTGGATACTACAAAATCTTATTTTATACTTGATGAGGAAGTATAACATTAACTCTAAGTGTTTGTTTAATCTACAATTTTGATGCAATACACATTCTACGAAACGTTTTTTAGCGATGCAACCGTCAAACTTGTTTGTAGACACTCCATACATAAAAAATCGCAAAAATCAAATATTCAGAGATTAGGTAACGGAACAAAAGTTTTTGATGATTATAAACGAAAAATCACAATTTAACGGTTATTTTAGCTCTGCTTTTGATGATTTTTTAGAGCTACACTCCTCGACCCTATAAGAATGTATACTTAATGGAAGTATAACATTAACTCTTAAGTGTTTGTTAAATCTATCAATTTGATAGGATATGCATTATACGAAACTAGTTTCAACGATCCAACTGTCAAATATGTTTGTATATACTCTGAGATAGCATGCGTAAAAAATCACCAAAAAAAAAAAAAAAACACTCAGAAATTATTTTGGCAGCTGTTCAAAATTTTGCTTTGTTCGTGTCGGTTATATTCGACAGGGCGATGAGTGAAAAAAAAATTTTTAAACATGTGTTTATTTATTTATTTTTAATCAATATAACATTTTAAAATAATAAAATCAGACATGATAGAGTACACCAGATGTTCATGTGCCAGACAATGTGTTTTGTGACGCATTGAAAAAAATTGTTTGAATTTTTTTGTATCTTGTTGCTTGCCTGTGAGGGAGCATAATCTTATTACAAAAATGATAGAGCTTTAGATTGTAGTCTGTTATTATTATTCTCTCAAAAAATTTGTGGTTCGTGGGAAATGGGTTCATTAGACTTTAGGATCATGAGTGAAAAAAAAAAATTAAAATATGTGTTATTTATTTATTTTTAATCAATATAACATTTTAAAATAATAAAATTTTCATTTATGTCGGTTATAACCGCCAGAATAATCAAATAATAACCACCAGAAAGTAAAATAATAAAATAGTCAATTTCTATTGGTTATAACCGCCACCATT